ATAATTATCGCTCTCGACACGAAGGCCGTATTTTCATCGGATAGTTTCCTTGGATGCAGCAAAGATGTAATAAATAACATTTCGCAGCTGCACTCACTGTCTTGCTCAGGAATTGAAGTTTTTGAAGCATTTATTGCATGGGTGAAATCAACAAGCCAACAAGACGACCTGACCAAGGAAATTATTCAGAAGTATTTGGGCGATATATTCTATAAAATCTTGGAAGCAGTGACACTCGATGCATTCACATCATTAGATCCATCATACGAAGAACTATTCACAGTAAATGAGTATAAAACGATTGTTAAGAAAATTGCATCGAAAAGCACCGACTCCGAAGCTGAAAATCCACGAAAAAAATTCAGAACAACTCCATCGACGGTTAAAACTGTATATTGTGATCGAAGAATATCACGAATATTCTCCGCATTACCATACTACATTAAAAATAAAGAAACAACGAAATTTTCAGTTAATAGACCACTTTTGCTAAGCGGATTCGTTTGTGATAAAGTTTTAATGTTTACGAAAGGTACATTATTCGTTGACAAATATAGTAGTGTAAAAGAAGAATTATCGGCCAAAGTAACATTCGCTGAAATTTCAAAGCTGTCTGATCATGAAAGCATCCTCCATACTAAAGATATAAGCATTCGGCGCAATGATTACACCAAAATTTACTTGGATAAACCGATACTCATTCGACCTGGATTCTTGTATGCGATCCATATGGAAATGTCACCACCTGAAAATGCTTGTACTGGTAATCTGTTGCATTCTGAAGTGAAATTGGGTTCGAACACCATCGTAGAATTTCATGACGATCCGACTAGAGATGATGACAAAGCTGTTGCAAGAGGTTTAATTTTTTCTCTCAGATTCAAATTTTTTTAAATATATTAGCGCCACATAATAACCATAAATCTTTATAGATGTTCATGTTTGCATTAGTAAGCTTTTTAAGTATACAAAATAAAACTATAACTAAATCAAATAACTTTTTCACAATGACTTTTATTAATGGCATAATACCCGAAATTCGAATTTTAAAGAACGACTGAATTGAGTATATCAAACTCTCCACTATCATATCCATTAAAGTGCATGGCAGTATCCATAGTTCCGTCATCTCAAAAATTCATCGCTTCAATCGAAAGTCTTCCAAAATCGATCGGCGCGTTTCAATTCGATCAAACTGTATTTTGTGCGCATTTTTGAAATTTTCGTGGCCAAAAAGACCGTCTCCTTAACAAAAACTGTAAGTTTTGATCCACCTACACATTTTTCACATTCTTTATTCAATGATCGTAAATCGATGATACCATCGTTAAAATAAGTGCCTGCATCTGGTGAATACACTTTCAATTCCTTTAGTTTTGCCGATCTCTGTATGAATGGTAGCACATTATCAAAATTGGCGAATTGAAAGTTAATCTGTTCAATATTCGGAAAACATTTCGTTAGCACATCAATATTCATGTTCGTTACATCCTTATCGCTGTCCATGTAGAAAAATTTCACTTCATTCAATGGTTTGAACACCATTCCGGTGCTCAAATTTTCAATGTACAATGTTTCAAGTCCTCGTAGTGCAGTGAGTTCATTCATGATCATTTCATCGCAACTAAAATATGCGAAAAATTGTAAGCTTTTATAAATGCCTTTGTCGTGAAGCGCATTCAATAAGTTGCATAATTGATTCATTTCATCAAGCGGCGGCAAGTGTTGAATGTGTAACGATTCCAAATGTAAATTCGATTCGATCATCCATTCGTTAAGAATGTCGGATGAAATCGACAGTTTTTTTATAATTGGATTTAGCTCCAAAAATGTTTTTAATTCGGCATTTGAATCATAGTCAGCCACAAAATCACTATCGAAGTATCGAAATTCTTCCAATGTAGAACATTGCCGATGCATCCACTCATGATCCAGATCCATTTGGGAAAATTCGTTTAATGTTAATGACTTCAGATTTTTACAAACGTCGAAAAATGTTTCATAAAATCGACCGTCAATTTGAACATTACAAATTGTGACCTTTTCGATATTCAACAAAAGATGTTTGATTTTATCAATCACATCGTTCGTCAATGGATGGTAATCGAATCGAAAATGTTTGTACAATTTTGAAAAGTTTTCGTCAAATTTTTCGAGGTCATCGAGTGCATCGTCAATGTATTCAAATTGACCAAATCGCAATGGATAATTCAGGTGAATGTAAAAGGTGACCGCTTTTTTCATTCGCTGGCACGTTTGACGCAATGATCGAAGATCGCTCAAGGACAACCACTCGAATAACTCCTCCAAGCAATCAATGTTTAACTTGAAAAAATCAACGACCGCCAAATTATTTTGGTGTACGTCACTCATTTTTCGTCAATTGGAAGAAATTGAGGAATGAAATCTGGATTTACTGAAAAGACAGAAATTGATAGAAATGTTTTATGAACATCACATGAAGGTCGTACTACTCACTGTTAGCTGTGAGATTTTACTCTTTTTGGTGCTTTTAAGTAAAATTCAAGTCAAATAGCATTTTGAACAGTAATAACTATTTCTTCACTCAATTCGAATTTCGTCTGTTTTAGTAAAAAAAGCTCTTATCAAATTAAAACTAAACGCGAAAATTATCAAAACATTGAAAATCAAGTGAAGTGCACGTATTAATGTTAAATGTTCTTATGTGGATTTTCTGACGTCTATCTGTCATTAGTTAGAATGTCATCAATGTACTTTGACAGCAGTCTCCACATTCCTTCACACAGTGTAGAGATGACTATCGAAAAATTCAAATTCATTTTTGTTTTCATTCCAATTTACTACAACATATTTAACGTTAAAATCAAATAAATTCAATTTTTTTTCAAATGATTTTTTTTTAATTAAACATTTTTCATTCAACAGTGTTTCATATGTCGCTATCAGTATCCGTAATATCTTAGTTATCACTGATAGGGATATATTCAGCCAGATATGACACTGTCTAAATTAGACACTGGCGTGTCTAATGTAATTTTGACACTCATATCTGGCTGAATATATCCCTCTCAGTTATCTTACGGATACTGATAGCGATATGTGAAACACTACATTTTTTAAGTTTTTTTCCTATTTACCGAAGTTCAACGAGAGTTTTAACTTTCATTTTCACTGTACAATAGATGAAATGTAATTTAATTGACAAGATTTGTCTTCAAAAGAACCCGGTCAAATCTATATGGTTGTCTCTGTCACTGCCATGAAACATTTAACTTTATCATCTGGATTTGACAAGGTCAAACTAAGTGTCAAGCTTTGAGACGAATATATTAAAAATTAGCTTTCATCATATTTTTCTTACTCTGATTCTACTTGATCCAGAATACAAAAAACTCATTTCAATCTTATACTTTTAAACACAGAAATTATTCCAAATCGCTTTTAACTTCTTCGAGCGAATTTTTCATATCAATATTCATAACAATCCGTGCAGTATCGATTGTGTGTAAGCTTTTTTTCCTAAACAATTTCAATGTTTTTATATCTTTTGTAAGATTCTAATGTGAAAAACTCTTGTGATTCGTTTCAATGCACTAAATAACTATTTTTCGTTCTATTTTCGTTTTATATAGACACTACTCCAAGTTTTATCATTTAAATCGGCGACTCTTTGTCAAAACAAAATTTTTCCGCAATTTTTGTAAAATGTATGGTGTTAAAAGAAGTAAAATGGAAGAAGAAGGGGAAGGATCAGGAGAGAATCAGAATCAAAATCAAAACAACACCAACGAAAATCAGATTGATGTTGCTGTAGCTGACCGATCAAATATGGAATTCACAAGCATAAACATCGATTGCCTCGAAGAACTATTTGAATGGTTATCACTAAAAGATCTATTTGCCCTTCGTCGGACGTGCAAGCGATTGAAGAAAGTTGTTGACTATTATATAAAAACCAATTATCCGACCGTCGGAAATGCCCGAATTAAAGAAAGTAACATTCAACAATATTTCCAAGCAGATACTGCCCTTATAAAAGCTGCCACCGTTGATCTGGAACGTGTGTTGCGTGAAACCGAAATAAGCGAGATCGAAAAGATTCTAAATGCAATTGAATGGATTCATATAAGAGATTACCAAATTAACCGTGAATCGGATTTTAATGATGTTTTTCTAAAGCATTGCATCAATTTGAAAGTTTTATGGATTCTCCACAGACGTGGAAATTTAATTGGATCGAATGACAACTGGTTGTGTCGACACTATCCAACAATTGAACATATATATTTGGGAGAGTTATTAACTAGAAATTCCCTCGAAATGCCAAAACTGACGAGACTTTTAAATTTAAATCCACAACTTCAAACATTTGCGATCAATTCCATAATATTCCTTGCTAATAAAAATGTGCTCATCAATTCTGGAATTCAAATTAATCAACTGGAGATTAATCGCAGTAATGGTGATGGCAGCGATTTGTCTCAAGTCATTCATATGTTAAACGAACTGTATCTTATTGGTTTTTATAAGCAACTTCATTATTATACTGTTAGCGTTCTTTTCGAGAATCATTTGCGTGAATTGGCAACGATACCAGCGATAAGCATGTTGACTTTTTCTGGTCTTATCTCAGACGTCTGCACGTTGCCACCAATGCCAGATCTGAAGGAAATCACTTATTTTCCCAATTTCCGAGCATTTGAAGTTATTAACCAAAATGTCGATTTGGAACCATTGATGAAAAACAATCGACAACTCGAACGCATTTATATTGGACGTATTTATTTGGTCTCACTGTTACCATTCATTCGTCAACTACCAAGATTGAAACAAATCAAAGTCAGAAAACTCTTGAGTGGTGAAACCGTTTTGAATGACGTTGGCATCGATTTGGAGGCACTCAATAAAGAACGAGAATCATTGACTGGAGCGTGTAAAACTACGATCTATGTCGAAGAGGACATTTTTTTGGCAACGAAATTCGCTAAAGTGACGACAAGCCTCAGTTTGATCGAATTAAAAAGAGTCCAATGCTTGGAGTGGCATAAAATTCATCCATATTAACATTTATTTTAAATTAGAGTTGAATTGTCCATCTTAAATGTTCATTATTCTTAAAAAATGTGTTCAAAACGAATAAAAATTGCATCGAAATTTTTCGATTCAAAGCGTATTTGAAATAAACAAAATGACAGATTCGTTTCATTTTTTCTTGTTTTTTATTTTATTTTCATTTTTAAGTGATGTATATAATCAAATCTCTCACTTTTATTCGAGTAATTTCATGATTTCAACGTAGCTCCTTCCTTTGGTCTCTGGCATATAAAAAACAATGAAAGTAGTTCCGCATAAACAAAGTCCACTAAATAGAAACATTGTGCCGTGTATTTCAAGTGTTTCCGTCATAAGAGGCAAGAATTTGATAACGAAGAACGAAGACGTCCACAAGAGAACCATGCCTAAAATGTCAATTTTTGTCAAAATAATTAGAACAAATTCAATCAAACAAATGTGTCATACGTACAAAATGATGAGCCGAAACTTTTCAAATTTTCCGGCATAATTTCGGAGATAACCAAGAAGGTGAGCGTAAGAACCGCCCAATTTGCAATGAAAATCACAAATGAAAAACTAACGAGAGGAATCCAATTGTATGCTTCAATGGGATAGCCTCGTGTTTTTAACAGCATATACACTCCAAGCGTGCTTAAACCCAAAGCAATCCCAATTGATGACACTATAAACAAAAACTAAAAACAAATTGGAATTGTATTGTGTGTAGTGAAGAAGAAAAAGCACCATTACCTTTCTGCCAGCTCGATCAACTAGATTCGTTGATATGTATGAGCCAATGAGTTTTATTACACCCACCACAATCGCCGATTTATTCGGAGACACGCTCGAACCAGCTTCTTTGAAAATATTTGCCGTATAGTTTAACATCGCAAAACAACCACAAAACTGATTCAATAGTGACAAAACGATTCCGATCATCATAGCTTTTTTACCAGGCCCATTTAACAAATCAGACCAACTCAATTTACTGTTGCTTTCATTTTTCTCAACATTTCCGATCATGGTTTTCAATTTATTCAGTTCAATTTGAAGCAATTCATAGTCGTTCGCTTTTCCCGTTAAATTTTGATAAAAACGAATCGATTTTTCGGCTTCCTGGAAAAGGTACAAAAGACTAATTAACAGCCATTGATAGTTTACCAGCAGTTGAGAATGCGTATGCGGCAGCTTTTTCTCAAGTTGCCACTATGCATTCGGTTACACGATCAACTGCTGGTGTACAGAAAGTTTCTAAGTTCTGTTAGAAACTATCAATTATATTCAACTAGTCTGTCTCGCATGCACTCACAAGTATTTTATTTTGTTTGTAAAGAAATGTCGGTGATTCGGGGAAGAAACAGAGCAAAACAGCGGTCAAAATCATCAACGCAATTACAAACTTTGGAGTAGCGTTAAAATCAAGATAGTTTCCAAATGTAAATGCCAGCAGTATGCCCACGTTCCACGCTAACGCCAGAGTAGAGCCGAGTGATCCACGTACACTAAACACAGTAAAAAGGAATTGAATAACACAGAGAAAACATTAGGTCGCAACTTTCGATTCAGTGAATAAATTGAGCTTTTTTCTTATGGTTGAGCGTTGCCGGACTTGATTTGAAATATCCGTCGAAAAATTAAAAAAAAAATTAGTCATTTTTGGACGGAAATATTGATTTGTAACCCAATTTAATATGGTAAACTAAAGATAAATGAGTAGACAAAACCGACCCATATAGTGTTTTCTGTGTGTAATCCCGTTTATGGTGACTCCAATAAATGTTTATCTTAATCATCTTAACCCACAAACACAATGCAAGATAATAAAAGTCATTCGAAAACCTACCGATCAACTGCGATTTCCGACAAGAATGTTGGAATTATCACAAAAACTCCGCCGCCGACAAATCCATTCAATGCTCGAGACGCGTAAAGGTAAAAGACGTTTTTCGCGAATAAAACGAGTGTCCAGCCAATCTACAAATTTGAGAAGAAATGAAAATTGTGTCAATTTTATTCGAAAATTGCCCGCTTACAATAGTTGGAATCGTGAGAAAAAGCAATGGAAGTTTTCGACCAAATTTGTTTGAAGCATATCCGCATACTATATTTCCGATCAATGCACCAATTGAAATAAGTGAAGCAATCCACGACGACTCTTCCGTTGTAATCTTTCCAGTTGGCAACGGAGATTCATCCGATTTTAGAAGCAAAATACTAGGACTACTCCAACCGCTTGTGACCCCATATCCGACTGTTAACATATTCACTGTTTAATTTTATTAGAAATTCATTAAATGAACTGTTTGAAACGATTTTATATTGATTTTTACCTACTAATGCGGCAAGGTACTGAAATTTAACACTTGCTTCGGTGATTTTTGTCTCTTCCTTCCCCATCATTACTTTTCGGAAAATACTATGACACTAAACGCAAATCACTTGCTACAAACGAATTGCCATTTTTCAATGTGAATAAAGCGAGTGACTGTGAAATATTGAACGCTACAGAATAAGAATGGCAATAATTTCGATAATAACAAATCTATATGGGAAAAATCCATATTTCGCTATGAAGCGATAACCAAATTCACTGCTGTTCTTATTCTGGAGCATTCAGCTATCGCAAAAACACGTATTGGCATTAAATTCATCGGAGAAATCTAAATAGCTGCTATGCAAATAGGCGATAAAGACAAATTCATCAGTTGGATGTACATTCTGTTTTAGTGTGCCTGACAATAAAATGAGGAAGAGATAACGTGATCTTTTTGTTTTGACTGATACTCAAGCTTAAATGGATATTAAAATAGGTTTTTATTCGGTTCAGGCTTATATCAAGGTGACTCTTGACAGACACGTTGAATCATAACTTTTATAGAGTTATTTCTTTGATAAAGAAGAGATAGCCTCTTTTTTTGTTTTGAACAGCAATGCTTTTATGAAGAATTGTAAAACTCTTTTTTTTTTCAAAAATCTCTAGTTATTTGGAGATATTACAAGTCATGAATCAGTCATGAATCAGTCATTATTTTATAGATGGGCAGACTTTTTCTGAAGAGAGATGGGCTTCAAATAGAAACTTTCTACGGTAAGTGGGTTGACCAGCGAAAAAAAATTGAAAGAATTTTCATCCAAAAAACCGAAAAAAATGAAAGAGGTCAAAACTAATTTTCTTCGTTTTGTAGACCGAAGCAAATCCCAAACACGGGTTCGAGAAGGGGTGTTTAAGACGGAACCACTCCACCCAGCTATGGTAATTCCAAACCTAAAAGAAGTTCTTCCAATCGTATGGAGCAACGGTTTTTGTATGTGTCCAAAAAGCATTTCAGTCAATATGCCTTCCTTCTATATGTGTTTCTTATGTAAGTAGGCTGTTTTACCTTTGCGCTGTCTGTTTGTATATTTGGTTTTTGTCATGATTCATTTGTTTTGGATACAGCTGATAATCAAATCATTTACACAGACACTTCATTTGGTGTCAACGACGAATGCGTTTCGC